AAAAACAAATAATTTCCTAACTACGATCAGAATCTAACATTAGAGTTACCGAGAAAATAAGTTATTTCTTTTCAAAATATTGGTATTAATAATACATTAAATTAAATAAGAGTTTCGAAGAGAGTAAATATTTTTTATTAATTGTTGAAAATTTGAAGTTATTGGAAATATTAATAATGTATTACGTATATTATATATTATAAAGAGTACCACATATTTTATATACCCCATAATAGTATATAAACGAATTATACCTATCATCCTATCATAATATGTCATAATAATCTAAATAAAATTAATAAATATTAAACCCCTAAAAATTATAATAATCAAAAAATATTTTACTTTTAAACACAATATAAAAAAAATTTTTTAGTCGAAATCATAAAAATATGTATAACAATATTATACCGATGTGGTGTACATATTTAATTTTAAATATTCACAGCAAAACTGTTTCATAATTTTTTATCAGATAATAGACAACAATAAAACGAAACATTCTAGCACTATTCTAGAAAAATTGTTAAAATCAGTTTATTTTCTTATTCATATATACAATGAATAGATATTTTAGTTGGAAAATAGATACACATATTTAAACATTTTTTGAAATAAAACATTGAAAATCTTATTGCATTACCTATTTCATAATATAAACACGAATACAGTATAATAAACAAACTGACTATTTTTACTATGTTTAGGTAGTTAAGAATCACATTTTAACTAAATATGAAGTGATTTTAATTTAAATAATTTTATTTAAATGTAAATATATATTAATTTTTTCATGACGCTGAGTACTAGTTTTTGTATAATGCGGCAATATGTCTTTGTAAATTATTATTTATTAAGCCAGACAATGAACTGTATATAAACTATTATGGTTTCCATGTAAAATTAAAAAATGAGATATTAACATTCAAATGTTATAAATTATGTAAAAATGTACAATAACCGAGAATCCTAGAAATAAATTTAAACTCGAATTAATAAAATTAAACAAAGCAAAGTTATATTTCAAACTTGCGAGTAAAATTCATAACGCTCAATAATACCTACTTATGCAATTTTATGATGTAGTTAAAGACAAATAAAAAATTAAAAAATTATACTTCAAACGCGCAAATATTTTTTCAAATTCCATTTATAAATAATCTTCATTGAAACAAAAAAAAATCACCGATGTGTCAAATTTACAATTTTAGGATTTAGGGATCGCTATATTCAAAAAAATATATCATATATAATTATTTGATAATGTACCCTATATACTATCTCTATCGTATGATTAATGAAAAATAATAAATAAAGCTTTTTACGTTTTAACTACAAAAAATCGTTATTGAAATATCTTCTATGTGATTAAACATTAATACTATGATTAAAAAAAATCTCTTTTATTAAATTACTTATCTAAAAATATGAAAGATTTGATAAAGTTTTGAAATTTAAAAATGTGTTTCTGTAGATTATTCAATAATCTTTTTTAATGTTTTTTGTGATCTAAATTTTGGTATTATTTTATTTTAGTATGTATTTTTTTCAATCGCGTCATGTTAAATTATGTATATATTTTAATTTACAAAACTACGACTAGATAGTATACTATAGATTTATAATCTACGCGATCCGTGTCAACAAACTTTACAACTAGGTAACAACGGTGTAATCTAAAACTATCTAAAATAATTTAGACTGTAGTTGATTATTCTAGTTGTTCAAATAGATATGTTATACATCAAAGTTAAAATTATGACATATTTTACAGCGTGTTTGTGTTGTTTGTGACAATGATTATTTTATGAATATTATCACTTTAATATCCTATATTCAAGTAATCTAGTAATCTAGTTAAAACGTTAAAAATACAAAGAACTTATTTTGTGACTAGTTGAAATAATAGTGATCTTTTCTTATAGTTCTATATAAAAAAAGCTGGATTTAACTCCAAAAAATTCATAATAATTTACATATTTATGTTAATCAAAGTTATTATGATATATATGTTGAAAAACATATAATCTCTAATTTTTACTATTATTATTAATAGGTACACAATAATAATATTATAAAATAATACACGACATATCCGAATAAAATAAAGTGCTTGAATTAGTAATATAGATATATATAAGTGTGTAATAGAACATTTTTTGACAGTACAATTAAATCAACGAACAAATATCTTTTAAAATTCGCATTTATATTATATAAACCACAAAGATTAATTGAGAATAATAATGTGCCACATAGAATAAAGATGAAATATTATATGTATTAAAATTCATAATGAAACTTAATAATTGTTCATATAATATTTCTGTTTATAGAGATATAAAATATGTGCGTCGTTAAATGGACATAAATAACACCACAGTGCGCAGATAACGTGACTTGAGGAAAATTTAATCGGTGGAATATATCACACTAATGATAAACCGTCAAATTAAAAACTTAACTTAATTTAGGTTCACATTTCAGTTATTCTAAAACCAGGATAGAAATTATATTTTACTTATATTTTTGGTAATTATCGACATCAATTTCCTTTCGATTAACAAAGATTACAATCGGTTGTATAGTCAGGAAAGTTGCAAACTACATTATGTATGGGTGCACGTTAAACGAAACCATCGGCTTATCGGAATAGTTCACGCCACAGTTTACCTGGTCGTAACAAAAAAAAAAAATTAAATAATAATGTTATATACCGTGTCAGTTTTAGACAGGAGTTTATGTGCAACTAATAACTTCTAAGACTTTAGAAACTCTATTTCCTCGCGGAGATATTTGGAAAATGTTCTCTCTAAAACTCTGCATAGGTCACCATACGTGTGTGGTTACGCTCGCTGCATCTTAACGTCATCTATACAAATCGTAAACCGTCAAAACACGTACTAATATCACCTGCGTTCGTATTTAGGTTTGTTACATAATATATAATATGAATGTGACTATTTGGTTATTAATTTATTATCCATAAGAGAGAGAGAGAAAGAGTTAATTGCACATTGTGACAAAGTCGAGTAACGTAGAGTTACAGATATTGCTCAACATATAAATAAATGAGAAATGTCGCGCCTTGTACACCTATTATATCCAACAAAAAACCTAAGAAAACTCTAGCAATGACAAAAAAAAAAAAAAAAACTTTAAATTACAAAACGTAGTAGTTGATTTAGTAAAGTATGTTTATTATATAAGTATCAGTTACATTCTTTTTTAAATAATTGTAATTTTATGAATCCATACTTCAAATATTTCAATGAATACAGTCATATAAAGATCACATTAATTTATGATTACCCTACCATATAATATGTAATAATAATCAATCGTTATTGCAGTGTCATACTAGACATTAAAACAATACATAAACATATGCTTAGATAATCGTAAATTTGTCAATTTAAAAATACCATATAAAATCAGACCAAGTTGAAAATATTCATGAAATTATTAACATTTTAGTATTAACCAAAAATTAAGATCTTCTTAGGTACTATTAATAGAATATCCTGAAATATTTTAAATATTTATAGTTTATAAATATTCTAACAATATAGATTATAGTAATTTTATTAATATTTTCTAAATCATTAAATTAATTTCTAATTTATAGAAAATAATCTCTTTAACGGCAAAACATAATACATTATATTATCTATACAAGCATCAGGACACTGATTTTTATTTTTTATTTTTTTTTTTTTTTTTGTGAATCTTAAAATAAAAAAATATCTTTCCTGATTTTAACAAGAAAAATATCATAAGGATACTTTTGCTACTATCTAAAAAGATAGAGTTACAGTAACTGAGAAATAACCAAATTAATACTTTCGTCAAAACTGAGATTTATGCACTGTTTTTCTTTCATTTTGTAAATAACAAGAACATTTTGAACAAATATATATATATATTTTTTTCTCATAAGTAATATTGACTACAAAGGCCATCAAATATAAGCAGATTTTTAAAATATCTAAATAATAGTTCACGTAATTCTTGAAGTTTTGTTACAATTATACATTTTAACTTGGTTTTTCTTTATTGTATAAATTTTTTTTTTTTCAATTAAAATTAAATTTTAATGATAATAAGTTTGATAATAGTTTTTTATTCACATTTTCCAATATATAGAAGATAATGAGAGGTCATTAGTGGTATTATATTACTATGTTTTTAATTTAAATATCATCCAACAAGTTTATTTATTAATAATTGATCTGTTGTCATTAGGAACTCATGAGATAATATTGTAGGTTTATATAACCAATAAAAATACTTTAATTATTGTTTGTCCTTCATATTAATATTCTAAAACATAAATATTTATTTAATATTAATAAACTTCAAAAAAATAAAATTAATTTTGTTTAGTTATATACTTTTCTAATATTTAACATTATATTTTATATTATAGTCACAATACCTAGGTAGCCAATACACAAAGTTGACATTTAAATAGCTTTTCTTATAGTTGGAATAAAAGTAATTTTATGTTATATGAATCAGAATATAAGAAGATATATTTAATGCTAAGAATATTGATGATTGTAATGATTTTCTTTACAAAAGAACTTATAATGCGATTACTCCTTTTTCCCAAATTCAAAACTCTGCTTATAAATGTTAATGTCATATAGGCTTATAAAGGTTTCCACTTCTGAAAAGACGATCAAAACATAGTAACTCTTTCAAAACTACTATTGGAAGTTATTTGAAAACTAATTTATTTATTTTAGATATAACTATATCAAATTAAATTTTTTTCTAGTATACCTATTAGGTATAAATAAAACTATATAAAAACAATAATGCAATATCTATATAATTCAGATACATACATGTACATGTACATGTATACATACAACTAAAATGACTATTAAGGAAGACATTGTACTTTATAATATATTAGTAATATTTTATCTTTATGTATAAAATTATATTTACATAAAAATTTATTTTATGTGTATACAATATGTATGTTTCAGAATATTTCTGTATTAGTTGTACTAATATACAGTTGGATGATAAGTTCAAATATGAAAAATACACTTCTTCTTCAAGATGTATTTTATGGTGAGTAAACATAGTTTATTTAATAAAATAATATATATTATATAAATAAACATACATTTTAAACATTTTAAACATGATTTACATCAAAATTAATATATCTTCATTCACAAAATATAAAACTTATAGTAAATTCCGATACTAATATTAAAAGTTTACAAAAATTTGCATTATTTATAATTTTTTACATATTATTATCTTATTTAAAAAATAACACCTATTTTTTTTATCATGTAATTATTCATAAAATCATTTAATATAATACAGACATAAACTTTACATCATCAACAACTAAAAGCGAACTGTATAATATTATATAATGAAGTGATATTATAATTTAATTTTAGATTTATTTGTTTATAACTGAGTTTGAACCTTTATCAGCCATCATTATTTATTTCCAACGGTTTATTTTTCGTTTCATAACTAAACTCAATCAAATAATAATTTTAAAAAATGTGTGTTGGCGTTACATTACTATACATTTTTTGGTTCATTTATATTTTATAAACATGGACGGATTATAACATTATTTATAACGAAAACGAAGAGCATCTTTTTGCTCTAATTTTCAATCAACTAAAATACCTCGTCGTCTGCTATGCCAGTATCATAAAAACGCCTCGGCGGTACCTACTGTATTTAATAGTGTATCTGGCATAAATGAATTAAATTATTCAGATTGTAATATAGTGAAGCCGTGTGATAAACTGCTGAGGGTGAACTCTTAATGCGAAGTGAATTAAATGGTATGATAAAATATTTAAAACCTAAAATTGCTTGAGAACTTTTAGCACCGGAGCGAAAACTTGTTAGTCGCGGAAGCATTCCTCTGCTTTTGCTGGGAAATCTAGAAAAAGATTAAACTCAATGTAGTTTTATTGGAAACTGTTTATTAGCTTGTTGTAATTCTTAATAATATTACAAATTATACATAAACATAGATATATAATATTTAATATGTAACTACGTACTTTACTCCACTAACTATCGATTTATTAACCGACTTATAAATAGTAAACACTACGCAAGTATACGAGTACAAGGATTCAACGAATAAAAGCGCGTCAATTTATCATCAACAAAGTTTACTACTGATAATTATGATAACTTTATTATAAAACATTTTATTCTGCTGAACGTTTTAGCGATCCTTATCGTGAAAACATCGACTGCATAACACGGAAATATTTAGCTGCAGTAATTTTTGTCTGATCTCCTTTGGTTTGTGATACACAAATATAAAAATAGGTCATTTAAGTGTTATTTTTCATTTTATTTATCAATTACAATTTTCTTAATTTATTATTTAACAACAATATAATATTAATGAATATGTATCTAGTGTAAAATATAGTGTAGTAAAATAATGATTTGTCCAATCAGATTAGGATTTTACCAAGAAAAAAATGCACAATGAATTTTCGCTCATATATTTATTATTTTGTAGCTATAAATAGCGTGTGAAAAGTTTCAACCGATATTTGAGCTTCAAAGATTATTTGAGATCAAAGGTAATAAAAACTTCATTATAGTAAATATCTTGTTTGCTAATGGTTTTACGATAAAAACAAAAAACTCCATAAGAAAATATTCTCTACAAAATTAACCCATTTCATATTATATTCAAATAACTCCTATTACTGCATAATAAATTTTATAATGTAACTTTTAAAAAAATACTGAAAAATACAAAAATATTAAAATAATAAGAATGCATTAATTTTATGCGAAGTGCATGTTTTAAATTATTAAACGACTTTTTCGTTGTTAAATCTAAATAACACACGTATTTGCGGAATTTTTTAACTAAACCTTGGCAAAAAAAAAAAATTGAATCGAAAATTTATTCTTCTGAAATTCTAGACCACTAAATATTTTATTATAAAGAAAAAAATTCGTTTTTACATGCTATAATTATACGTGAAAAAATTTCTATATTTTTCAATACATGATTTTGAAGTTGTTTGAAAAATGTCTCATACCTTCAAAACTTAGCAACAACACGCAAAAAAATTAAATTGCACCGCAAAAGAAATGGTTACTTAAATGAATAGGATAACACTTTATTTAAATGATATATGGTAAACTAAAACAAGAGATCTTCGTTGATAATTACAGTTATCTATCTCAAGAAATCATTGTATTCTCTAACAACTAGTACCACTCAACAGTATCTACTATTGTAATTTGAATACAAACTTGATTGGGCAATAAATTTAATTCAGAACACAGGAAGCAGTGATTAATTACTATTTCGAAGCTTATAATTAAATTGTAGAATTTTCCAAAATGATTTCAATAACCAAGATTAATAATTTATAGTAACATTTTTTTGACAATGTATAATTTTTTAAATAAAGCTTAATTTTTTTTTGTCGAACTTACAGACATATGAAATTGTTTAGTGGTTTCTTGACTAATTTTTAACTTATTTTTTATGTATTAGTCAAAATCATTAAAAATGTAACACAAATTCCTTGTATATTTTTCATAGCAATCAAAAAATATCAAAAACTTATAATCATAGTTAAATTTATAAAATATAGAAGTTCAAATTATGACAAAAATAAATATTTAAATAAAAAATAACGATTTTAGTAATCATATTGTAAATTGAAAAATAACATTCGTAAAAAAGTTAAAAATTTAAAATATACAACATATATTATTACTTTTTAAATGTAATTAAATTATAAGCTATATATATATAACGAACTTATCCATATTGTTAACCAGTACGTCGATACCCTCGGTAAAACATCAAAATAAACACTAAAACAAAAAATAAATTAAATGATAAATTAAAATGTTTTGGGTTTATATTTAATTACTTGGAACTAAAATAAAAATAATTGTCATAATGTAAGCAAATAATACAACACCATATACAAAAATATGGGAAAATTAGAATTATTTGGCAGCAGACAATTTTGATTAGGTATAATTTAACAACAATACCGATTTTAAAAACTCACGCTTGAAAGAAACCAAAGTATCGAATATCCAAAATTATTATTACAGTCAACTTGAACCTTAAATTATAAATAATATAAAATTTAACAATCTGAATGAAAAATAAATGATAAGATAAAAAAGCAATCTTGTGAAACTTGTCATAAAAAAAGCAAAACAGCTAAGTCGGAAAGCACCAAAGCAAGTATTTAGATGTTGGGGACAAAGCTGATATGTATCAGTAATGTAATCCTTTGTCGTTCAAATCAAAGAAAGGTAAATTGGCTTACAATTGTTGTTGTCATGAAATATGGAAAAGTTTATCTCTCTGAGCAAGAGGAATATGTTCTTAAATTAAAGAATTAATTGTTATTTGATTATGATAAATAAATAAGCATTTTAAACAAAACATCGAATCGTACAAAACGCACGAAGTCTTCGATTTTTTTTTTTTTTTAATTCTCACACTCTAATAATACAATAAATGCATATGATATAATAAAATTTGTAATTTTGTTTCAAATTGTAATTATATTTTAAAAATGGAAGTTGATGACTTGTAAATTAATTGAATGGGCAATAAAACCAGTATTAATTAAAGATCATTAAAATCATTTTATTATTTTAACTAAATATTTAAGTGATTATTAACTAAAAAAAATTAATCATAGAATAGGCCTATCGGGTAACCTATACAAAATAAACGCACCTTATTTTCTAGCTCAATAGATATATGCATAGGCGTCCCCAAACATTTTTCTAGAGGGGGAGAGGTGCAAAATTAATTTATAAATGAAAATTTTTCTATACATTTTATTTATAGTAAATTATTAAGTTTCGTCATTATTACATTAGGGTATTGTTATTATACATTTTATTTATAGAACATTATGATTTTTCGTCATTATTACATTCAATTATTACAATTAGATAAAAAATTTAAAATTCTAGGGAAGAGCAAGTGCCCCGTTTTACCTCCCCTGAAGATACCCATGGAAGTATAAAAAAGAATACATTTGTAATATTTGTATAAACTCATAATTTTAAAATTTTAATACTTAACTTTATAAACCATGAGTCACGAGATTGATTTTTGTTCATAAATTAACAATATAGTATAGTTTTCTCTTTAAAAATGTTTGTACAATACATTTTATTCAATGTACAATCAATACAAGCAAACTATTAACAATTAGATCATATCATACATTTTGAATATTTGATATTTTATCCTTAAACAATTGCTTATGCATAAAAAAAATATGAGTGCAACCTTTTTCTTAGGTAATTTTTTCTTCTACGATTTTTGTTATCTTGGTTTACCACAAAACTAACAGAAAGCAAGATTTTTTTTGAAAATTATGTTCTTTTCCACCTTAACGTTACCTTTGAACTCAAATTACCTTTGAAGCTCACGTGATATTGATAGGAATATTTCTTGTGTTTATCATAATCGTGTAGTAAAGGTTTTATGCCAAAATTCGGCTTTCAACTATTTTGTTTCAGTTGAAGCGGATATTTAATCTAAATTGACTGAACGCATTTCAATATTACAGAGATAATCGATAAACTAAGTTATCAGATCAATAAACATTTAAAATAACAGCTCTCGTACAACGTGATATTATTTTATTTTAAACATTTTATCACATCATGATTATTCAATCAAACAGTATATCTTAAATATTTTATTATATTATAAACTAAAAAATATGTTATTTAGGTTTATAATAAGTAAATGCAACGATTGATTCTAGAGAGACTGAAGGACTATTTTTTGTCTCTTGCCCCCTCTTCATACCCCATGACCAAAAGCTTGATAATACAGTGTTTAATACTTATTTATTATGGATAAAACGGGTGATGCTAGCCATTAGCGCGACGCATATCAATTACGGGATACCTATGTAAGACGCGCGAAATATTTACCGGTTCGTCTTTAATGAATGAATTGCTTAGACCATGTAATGTACGATGTAGTTTACCCTGCCGACGTAGTAACAGTGGGAGCAACGAAACTAATTGATTAAATTTTCCGGACTGCGTTTCGTATTATATTATATATATATATATATATATATAATATGTAGTGTACACACATAATATATGTATTATACACATGACGCGTATAGTACACACTGTTACTATACAATCACTTCCACCCCCAATACCGTCCACCCCATCATCGGCCAGCCATCCGCTTTTATGTTATAAGATCGTATCACACTAAACTCTCCACCCCCAACTCTTTTTTTCAGTCTCTTTCCTTCCCACCAAACGCTACGACATCTTTGTCTTATATCATATATCTTACACCACATGTACATATACCTCTACCACATCCGCGCCAATGTAGAACTCCCTCGCTATTTTTTTTTCTTTTTTGAACACGATCGACACCGCAGCCGCCGCAAGTTTTTCAGTAAACTTTTTTACACTTCGGTGATAAGTAGTCGCCACAGGCGTAGCTAAATGCGTATTTTCGTTTCAATATTTTTCTCAATCGGGTACATGTTCTTTTGCACGGCAATTAAATTGAATACTATTAGAAATTATCCGCCATCACTTTTGGAAACATCACCCAAAACCTTGGTCCAGAGAATGAATTTCAAAAAAAAATCGCAATACATATGGCTGAGAATTCGAAGTTTTCGACACGATTTAACATAACCATCGGAGCAAGCTACATAAACTTATAAGAATATGTTAAGTATTTTTTTATGACTCGCGTTAGTATTTCATAAAAAAAAAAAATCACTTAAAAATTAAAATAAAATGTTTGAAAATTAATTGATTTATATTATTTTTCGATTAATTCTTTATCTTTAAATCAATCAAATAATTACCAACGGTCAGCACTATAATTTGATTTATAAAACATACAAAAAGTGACAAATATTTAATGGCTATCAGACATTTATTTATTTATTTAATATTAAAAATGTTTATTCGTTTAAAATTTAAAAAAAAAATACACTTTTACTCAAAAATGATCAAAATATATTAATCTTACCCATCTATACATATATCTATACTCTATAGTTTATACCTAATTTAATATAATATTATAGTTAAATGGAGTTAGATGTATCGCTATATTACATAACTATGTTAAGACATTTATCCATAATGTATAATGTATGCTGATTATAATTAATATCTTGTTCCATTTTATCTGCTAAGTAATTTACATAATTATTAATGAATTCATGTACCAATACCCAACAGATTTGAATTATTTACCATTCGACCGCTGTTTAGGACTTGAATCTCCAATTGTTATTAAAGTGAACCCCACTTTTTTATTATTATTTTATCGCTTAAACTTCAATTTGGAAATAATATTATTCAAATTCACTGAGCGATTTATTAAAATAAGCTTAACAATATTTTATTCTTATGAGTTTTGTAATATTTTAAAATCTGAACTGTTTTAAAAGTGTAAAAATTTTCATTATTCAATATTCCGTAACTTAGAAATATTTAGGTAGTCTTGAAACGATTTTTATTTGAAAATAAATAAATAAAAATTGTATAATGTAATTTTAAATTAATATTGATCACTTGTCACCATAATATTTCCGTTGACGTATAGTATAGTTAATGGAACTGAATCTATACAATACATAACCTTTGCATTACGTCATGATCAACTCCTACTGTCTGTCTGACCCTTTAGATAACTAACCCATCTTATAAAACCTACAGAAAAATTATTCAGATTGCTATTTGATAAGCGCTAAAAAGTTTACATTCACATAACTGTTGACTATCCTTACAAACTATTACTAACTATAACTTTTACTTACTATCCTACTAAACCACCGAATTGTAATTTATAATGAGATTCAATAATATCTTTAGAATTTCGCAACGAAAATTCTTGCTATTTTATTATAAAAATTCAAAATCCTTTAAAATATACATTCTAAATTGATTGGAACCACGACATTCAATGATCTAAAATAAACAAATATTTGGTTAAATCTCCTCGTGGTTAGTACTGCTCAAATAACAACTACGGCACCAACATTCCAGTTTTATTCAAACAGATGGGACGGTTTTATTTTTCAAGATAGTATAAATATCTTATTAATCTCATTTTAGAAATATTAAATACAAGATTATTTGTAAAAATATGATCGAATTAAATAACAAGAATATACAAAATAAGCAGAAACTATGTAATCAAAATAATGTACACTAAATAATTAACTAATTTAATCATATTAATAAAAAATAATTGTGTCATAAACCATAATATATTATGTTTTTAATTAATGAACTAAAAAAAAAGTAAGCTAAAATAGTAATTTTTCATAGTGTTTATTTTCTTTTGATTTAACATCGGTAGATAATAAAAAAATAAAAACAAGTAACCCATGTAGGTATTAATGTTATAACTAAATTCGCATCAACTTAAAATAAAAAAAAAATGATAATACAATAGCCTGACCTTCTGTATGAAGTAAAAGAATGACACGAATGAAACATTATTTATCAATAGATCCCTTTCCATTGTTTCGAACTAATATTTCTTATTTTCTCGACCGTAACACGTACATCTTAAGATTTACTACATGCCTTTTTTTTAACCAAGAGATGTTTTAAAAAAATGTAATTGTAATACTAGTAAAACTCAGTCGAATAACTACCTACTAATAACCAATAAAAATTCAATTTAACTTTAAGGAAAACACGTGTTTACTAATTTTATTACAGATTTTCCAACTTCTGACTAATCGCACGTTATTAATTTCGTTCATTTATTTTGAATACAAATATAATGACATCAATTTAATTTATGTAATAACACGAACAATTAAACAAAATAACACATAAATTTCAAAATATCTTTTTAATTAATTATAAATCGTTTTCATATTATAAAAGCCGTATACTCGCATTTTCTATAATACTAATTATTATTTCTACTTCACATTATATGATAATTTATATTTGAAAATATAAGAGGATACCATAAATTGTAAAATCGCATGTATTCAATTCAATAATTATCAACCGTGATACACTTTTCAACTAAAATTGTTACGTAAAAAATGACTATATTATAGTTTAAATTTACATTATATTATATATTTTGTATTGTCTCTTTCAATAGATTATAACTCATAAAATACATATTTTAATGTCATATTTTTTTTATTTTTTTTTTGTATACTCCATTTCTATTTGATCAATCCGAAATATATGAAAAAATAAGCAGAATTGATAAAATAATGAAATACGTAAATATACATCAAAATAAAATAATATAACTGCTTTTATTGTGAGTTTTTACATATAATATACATATTCTCGTTTTGAAAAATACTTTTTAATATTAAAATGCGCTTTATTAAATTTAATTTCATATTAAAACTTCATCACAAAAAAAAAAAAAAAATTCCTAATTATTAATATTATTATTCTTTGTCTTAGTTTGTTTACATTTTATTTTTATACATAATGATTTACAACAGTATTTTACGTCATTATAACATTATAATATATTAAATAATATCTAAACATTATATAAATAAAAATATTTTGATAAACTTCCTAGTGAAAATATAATAATAATTTAATTTACAAAATGTCTACACAAAAAACACTTAATTTGATAGAAATAAATAAAAGATATATATAACAATTCAATCTCCATTTGAGATTAATTGTTTTTATTCATAAGTTTTTATGTTTTACTTTAATATTTTATAATATGTTTTAGTCAAAAATATCTTAATCTGATATTTATTGTTCATAAATTACAAACCAATTCCAATAAAAGAAAATGTATATATTTAAAAAAAAAAAAAATACTAAAAATAGATTTTATTATAGAGAACATGAATAATTATAATTTGTATGTTCATGATATTTGTTTAAAAAAAACAAATACATGTCGTGTTTTAACACATTTAAAATGTAATAATAAAAAGTTATACAAACGCTTTTGAATATGAATGTTACAATATATCTTATAACTTTCGAAAACTATTTCTATAAAATTGTTCACTGTACTCACAATTTTCTTAAATTTAAAACTTGATTAATCCTGAAAAAATCATAAGTATTACTTATTTAAAGTAACAAATAATAATATAAATATTTTACTATGATAAAAATTATTAAATTATGCTAATATATATTTTGTAATTTATTACAGGTGTTCAAATTGCATATTCTGCCGTAATTGGAACAAATTTGTTCATCTTCGCTGCCAGCGTCATATTACTCCTTGGAATCGTCAAAGTAAATATTACTCATTTATACTAAGAACGTTTTATTTCGAAGGCAAACAATCCATATAACTTACAGACGCCATTATCAACAATTCAACATGACTTTTACAATGCCGAACTTTTCTTTTCCCTTCGGTATCTTTTTCTTATTTTCATTTTGGTTTTTTTTTTTTTTATTTATTATTTTCTTTTCCATTACAAATAAAATCAAGACCGAATACTAAAGGCAACATCCATTTTATTTACTTTTATTTCGAAAGAAGCAGTAAGCTACACTGTATGTGTGAAGACATATTGAATTAAAAACGTATTCCGATTCGTTTTATTGAGCGGACGGTTGAATAAAACATTTATTACTTATTATTTTGTACACAACTATATAAATACTCATAAATTATAGAACAACTCAAATAAAAATATTGAAAACACATAAATTATATTATTTATTTTTAATATAAATTTGAATATTATATTTAAATTAACCACAATTTAAACATTAACTTAACATTTGAATATCTAATAAAATTATAAAACTAACGAATAATTTTTGTTATTTTAAAACTGAAACATAAACTACACAGTGTTTATTTTATAAATGAATAAGTACATACTTATAAAATGTATACTATATTTCCAACTCTCATTGAAATAATTCATGGCCATATCGAAAACATATCACTAGACAATATTTAGTAAACATATACGAAACGTATTTCAAATGTTTTAACATAAGGTATATCACATTAACTAAATTTCAAATATTTGAAATAATTCCTTAAATAGTCGTCCTAAATAACGTATGGCTTATTAATAGTTATACTTGTCTCAACCCAAGTAAATAATATTTTGAATGAAAATTATCCAATGATATTTACTTACTTATGTCAATAATAATAAAAACCATGTTTATTCAGTGACCCAATTCCGTATTAAGTAACCAAAAATATTAAATGTTACATACGCATCATATTTGACATAAAATTATTATATATATATATATTAACAGAGAGCATCACTTACTCAAATTAAATTATTTTTTTATATCTAACAGTTATTTGAACACGCTATTATGTATTAAATATCATTCAACCATTCGTGAGTTTAAAAAATCCAATTTAACTTTGACATGAGAGTTGTATACAGTATACATTTATGACCGGATTTAACGCATTTAAACCCATGGGCGTAATACTTTAAAAGCCAGTAGTCTTAATTACTAAGTATGAAATAAAATTATGATTTTAATGGTTACATTTGATACTCTCAGAAATTCCGGGAAATTCTTAGGGAGTCACGACTCACGAGAACAAGACCGTTCTAGAAATAAAAAAAAAATAAAACATATATTTTGTATACATCATTTTTTTTCAGTAATAGTTAGGTTATTTATAGGTTTGAGTTAAAAAATTTCATTCGATGTTTAATTTTTTCAATGATCATATACAAATTAAAAAAATGTATTCAATATTTTTATAATTGTTAAAAATTTTTGTAAAAAAAAAAAAAAAACTTTTAGGAAATCGCATTCGTGTAAATAATAGTTATTTAATATTTATACTAGAAATATAAGGCGATAATATTTTATTTACTTTCTTATAATAACGTATTTGTCATTTTAACATACCTATAAGGAAGAGTTGTGAGTTGTAATATTCTCGTCTAAGTTTCAACCACATTCCACTTTTTTCTATGACATATGTTTCTTAGAAATAAGTGTATAATAAGTTTTTTTATGAGGTATGTTCATCCATATTATACATTGCAGTTATACAATAAAACCGTTAAATGTTTGAGCTTTGATCTTCTATACACAAAACATTTTTAACATATAACCATACTATTCAGTTTACATTCGAATACATAGCCTTTGCATAGATCATATTTAAACTGATATCCCGCGCCACCGAAATAAATAAAAGTCAAAAATCAAGTAAATGTGTATTGTTTCAGTGTTATATAATTTATCGATGTTTGATAAACCGAGTTCTTAGTCTCTTTCACTCTAACATATTTAATTTTTATGAAAGGCAGTAACTACGAGTCTATGTCACTTTATAACCATAGAATAACTGTTAGGTTAGGTTATTTTAAGTTTCTCTAGATTTATAGTATTGGATATGTATCAATTAAATTATTTAAATTATCAACTAACGGTTTGCTTGAAAGAAATATAAATATATATACTTTAGGTATTTGTAATGTAAATATAAAATATGAAAATTAAACTAAGTACACTACCATTAGTGATTATATAGCTGTTTAATCTTTATATGACAATTAATAAAACTTATTCTTTTTTTCAATTCGGCTAGGTTGCTATTTGCAACAATTAAAGAAAATGCAAAACATTGTTTAAAGTTGGTAGAGTTGATATTAGTTATCGGAAATTCAATGCAAGAATTGTATTTTTATGTTGACTAACGCTGCAATATGAGATTAGATGTATTTTTTGTTAGGATTTGTATAAAAATAAGTTTTAGATGCGTTGGTTATTTTCGTTTTATTTTTAAATATTTGAGCATAAGTATATTTTTATAATTAAAAAATATAAATAATAAGTATATAATGATTTTTTTTAAATTCAGCTGTTTTTAATACATTTTTAAAATAATTTCTATTATTATAATCGCATTTAAATATTAAACAATTAAAAGAATATTACACATTTTTTTTGTTTTACATCTGTGATTTAACTATTTGCTTACAATTTGAAATACCATATTATTAGATAATATAACATGTATGTTTTTTTTATACTCTCGGCTAACTTAAAACATTTTTGAATATTCTCGCCAAGTTAAATTCCCTGAAATTTCACAACTTTTCTAACGATAGTTTAATGAGCAAAAAAGTAATTAAAAAATATTCAAGTATTTCTAAAATGTCGATATATAGCTGTAAAAGTATCAAGTGTGCTACCAATTAAACTGCTAATCGTATTAATGTTTTTTAAACTCTGTTCTGCATCAGCTATAACCTTCTCAATACTTCAATAGTTTAATAATAGTAATTTAATTATTCACATATTATAATTAGTTATTACAATGATAGTTCCCCATGTAATATATTCTTCGATCGTTGGTTAGAATATCAAATATTACTATCATAAAAAATATTATATCAGCTATAATTTTATAATTTAGTAAGATATTAATGATGGTTCTATTATTATATATTTATTCTAAAACTTTGTAATTTGATTTCTTATTAAAAATTTAACTTGATCTACTAGATATTATATGAGATTGAATAATTGCTAAAGTAGGTACCAAATAAATTAGGTGCTTAACCTAAACATATTCTAAACACTAATTTTCCAAAAAGATTATTAAACTCAAACAGTACAAAATGTAGAAAATATGTTTATGTATAATTTTTTTTTTTTTTTAATTAAAAATGTACGCATTTATTCAAGCATCTAAATATTAATTAAAATTTCGTTTTTTTCTATTATTAATGTAAATTAAAAATACCTCTTTATGAACGTAGATTTCGCTGAAAATGGTTCAAATATAGTAACGTTTTCAAAATAAAATAATCTAGAATACTGCTTTCAAATCATTTCATATCTAACGTAGTAAATTACAAAGAATTTTAAAGAAATAAAATTTCAAGAGTAACGTTATCTTTAGTAACTAAAGTCACTATTCTAATTACATTTGTCGCAAAGCTGATGTTCAATTAATGCTCCATATTATTGTACTAGATACGGTCAAATAATCATCATAGCCTCAAGTACTTATTGTAATTAAAACCATTAAGTTTACATATCACTACCCCTGTCGTTACGCCGTTACTACTTCGACGTGGTTTAACCTTAGTGCTAACCACAACTACCTCACCTTTGTCCACTTCCAACACAATGACCCCAGTAATACATCAGCTTATAGCCTACCTGGATCAGTGGTGTGTTTGCTTTTTATTTTATTTTTCGTAAATGAGTTCCTTCATACATCAGTCTACGTCACAATGATACATTCCTGCTTTTGCATCGTATCAATGTACTTCGTATATAATAAACTGCATTATCTTAACTCAAAATTTCCCATAAAGATACAATCAATCTGCGTCATGGTTTCCACACTTATGTGAGGCATTATTCGTTCTTTTTTTCATTTACAAGACGATAATCAATCATAATCAAACTGTAAAACTTAACGCTTGTTTTCAATTTTATGTTAATTTTCCAAAACAGAGTTTTCATTACATCAATAGAATTTGCTACGATTTAAACCAAGCTATATATATATAGCTATGTATGTCAATATATATATATATATATATTAAATTATTTTACTTAAGATAAACAAAAAGACCTTGACTGATCTAAAAAAAAAAATATATTCTTCATTAAACTATAACAAACACAAAAATGACTATACAAAATAATATGACACAGTGCTAAAATATTAAATTAACAAGTCAAACCAGATATAAAAACCAGGTAGTTAAGAATTTGTTACATACAGCTTATTTCACCCAGATCCATTTCTAATCAGAATCTAAAAAGTTTTACAAAGACCCTAAAATCAGTAAAATTTATAAATATGACAATTATTTAGAATTTTACTAAATAATAATTAATGATACATTATTAAATTATTCATACTTAAAAATGTCTTTATATCTCAACAAATAACAACTATTTACATTAAATACAACATTTATTTAATTACCTATTAAATTTTATTTGATCACATTTTTTCTATCAAAAAATATATTTTGAGATTTAATATAGATACTTGATATATTTGTAGTTCATTGCATTGAATAGGAACTAATTGATTTAATTTAAGTTATTCTCCAATATCTTCATATATTTTCAATAAACATGGTATATTTAACATCACCATTTATAACCTTTAAAAAGTGAAATAATCTAAATAAGTAAATTTAATTTCAAAACTAATCGTTCGAACATCATAAAAAATCCTTCATTTAATTCATTATATAATATTAAAATGTAATACCAACAATATTTATGGCGTAAAAAACATACTTATTTTTAGT